AAACTGTTAAATATACATCAGCAAGATTTTTGCGAATCCTATTTTTCGCTGGAGACTATCGTTTACTGGCTGGTCACGCAATCAAAGGCAACGTACTTTCCCACGTTTGTTTACTGACCTTTCGCTCGGCAATACACTGCGTTCGACAAAGGATCCAAATTGCGCTGGAAATGTTTTGCTATTCGGCCCACTTTTTATCTCAGGTAAGGCATTGCAAAGCTGATTCACTTACGAAGATACGAGGGAGAATTATTTCTTGATGTTATTCTGATTTCGCAGTCACGGGAAAACAGACCTAGACTCAGGTCCACTCGCAGACGCCATGCTGCAATCTTCAAGATCTCAAGAACAGAAATTACCCATTGAACGGCCTCTCCTTTGAGGATTGCGTGTATTTCAATAAAACAGGTACATATTAAAAGAATCTTGTTAGTTTCTCCCTTTTAACGAGCTCAAATCGATGCATAAAACTAAGGTGACGTGCACGTGCAATTGACCGTGGGGTCAATTAGCAGTTGTTTGGGGCAAAATAACTTCAAAATAATCAATCTATTTCACAAGCGTTCGCAAGAACACCAGACTAACTTTCAGATAATGTTGAAGTACTATATCTCATTAGTTAGTAAGCGGGATTTGGGGTGATTTGGAGAATTCCCCCATATAGAAAATTCGATTTTGGTTTTAGCGGTAAATTGTTGTATTTATAAGCATTATGCAAATTACGTTTCAAAATTCTGCTGGCTCGTCGATATTTTATACTCTAAATCTAAAAAATAAGCCATTCAGAAATTGTTAGATATCTACTTTTTGAGATTTAAGTGGAAGATTGGCAATATATTCGCTCGTTTATGAAAGTCAGCTCATTTCTGTCGCTAGGCTATATTGCCTTGTTCGGCGGCTAATTTTAGGCCCGCAGACCGTTGAAATCGAAAATCTCAAATAATTCCCAAACTCGGCCGCATTTTGAAATTTAAACCTCAGCAGTGTTATAAACTCATTAAAACCTTATTACAGACTGAAAATGAGAGTGAGTTAGGTTTTGAGCTGTGGCCACGATTTGCCGATTTTGCTCGATTTTTCTGTGCATTCGCTCTTAAGTTGTTAGCTACCCTTCTCTTCCTCTTCCCGACTTATCAGGAACATCGAAGGGCCTCCGCTCGCAGGGTAGTTGATAGCGACCAAGGAGCTAAATAACATAGCGAGGTAAGTAAGTGGCATCGGCGGTTTTATTTACGCCTAACCATTTCCCAAAGTAAAGAAGGAAAGAACTTCAGACAAAGGGAAAGAAGAGTTATGCGATAAACTGCTCTTAAATTGATGTTTAGCTATGGCATATGCGAGGGGGGTGGGGGCTATTTAATTGCTGAATAACATGTGCCGTTACCAAAAAAATTACGAAAAAACATTTTTTCTTTGGTTTGGAATTTTGACCCTGAAACTTTTCGCTCTTGGCATTTGTGATACCGGGCAAAAAAAATCCAATATTTAGATATTTCCCTCTTAGCAGCAGGCCCTCTCATTACAGTGTCCTTAAGTTTGGACAGTATCTAATATTATACACCCGTAGGAAATAAACATGAGAACAGCTGGTTACAGATTGTCGATGTATGAGGCGGGGGTTCTGGGCTCCCTCTGAGAAGACCCCAAATCAAGGTCATATGCGAAACAGTTTCAGTGCCTAAATATAGTCTTACATAACAAAACTGGACCATAGTTTTGGAACAAATTGATGCGAAATAAAGACCATATTAGCTTTTTAAAATGAACTAGCAATTGGCATAGCCCCTTTAAGTCTTTTTTGGCGGCCAATTTTAGTAGGAAAAAAACCCGCCTTTTGATAGACGTTAATACGATAGCCTTTTGATAGACGATAATAGACGTTATTTTTTCGCGTTTTGGCGGGAGAGCGAAGGCAAGCGCTAGTGAGTGAGAAGCGCCAAACAGGGGCGATGGGGAAGCAGAGAAAACAATGGCCTGTCCACATACCATTGTTTTGTTGCATTCCACCCCAGACATACCCCTTAATGGTTCTCCTCACTCGCTTCGCGCTTGCAGTCGATCTGGGTTCGGGCTCAATTGCCTTCCCTCGCCTGAAAAACGCACGCCTGTTATGCAGGCTAGCTAGTTAGCTTGATGTGGGAATGGCTGAAAAAGAGATTTGCAACACAAGACTGCTCAATTGGACGTACACTAATTTAGAAGCTTTTTTGGCGCATTCACAGAAGCCAAACTTTGGACATCTCTTACGAACCTATATCGATCTTTCTCTCCCGCTCTCTTTTCTCCCTTTGACTTTCTTCTTCTGTTGCTCCGGCACTTGATCGTCTTCCCACTGTCTTTGTTTTGCAAGGAATTTTGGCTAGCTAACTTTTCAGGAAAGGGACATTTAATTAATCTGTGGAGAATAGAAGGTGAATAGAAAAATGGGAAGTAGATTTTTTTACCCCAAATGTTGCTTTTTGTGTGTGTGTAACTCTCTCAAGATACACGAGGATAGGTGAAAATTTGCTTAATGAGGTACCAGTGGAAAAATCCATCCTTGTTGATTTTGATCAGTTTATAACCTTTGTCAATAAATTGAAAGCTAAATGGGCTCATGAAGGATATTCATTGTTAAAAAAAAAAAAAAAAAACACCAAAACGACCCCAGTGTCGGCAGTACTCCCTCCATCTGATTTACTTTTTCTATTGAGAGGACAATTGCAAGGATCCATGAAGGTCCGTTCAATGAAGGTTTCAACTAATCAATGGCACAATTACGGGTCGGTCTACTCTGCGATCTTTGACCATCTTTGGGTGTTGGAAATCGTGTCTGGACTTAATAGTGTTGAACGCACGAATAGTGAAGAGGCAGAAAGAGGAGGTGGAAGAATTTCATAAAAGAGAGAAAAGGGAGCAATGATTACTTTAACCTTGTCTTTACTTACGTTATTTTTAATACACGAGACGATTTCACCAAAACATAACTTTAAAAAACTACTGAGAAAATAAACTATTTCGGATTTTTATTGATTGAAAACTTATAGGGTCTGATGTATAGTGTTATTAATGGCAAATCGTCTAAAATGAGTGACGAATGAACCATAAAAGCATGTGCCCACTCCAAGAAAGATGTATGACCGCGAAATTCATTCTGGTGAATAAAGTAAAGTTAAGTCATCTGACAGGAATAATATTTCTTTACACGCTTCACAAACTCACATTTTTTATCGTACCGGTAAAATTAAGTCTGACTGTGCTGAGTTTAACAACGGTCACGCAATTGCAGAATACAGTGAGTACTCCAACAACCAACAACAATTGCTGAGCAACCTTAATTTTATAATGTACAATTAAGAAAAGCTAACATACAAATTACAAAACATTTAACATTAGCTATTCTCTTGGTTATGTTCAAGCCTCAAATATTGCGTGATGCTAACTGTATTAAAACCCGTCCTTGTGTACAATAGGAATATGAGATTCATCTATATGCAAATTTGCCACATTGTGTCACCAACCTTCAGAGCAATTTGTTATCAAGGATATCAATTTTTCAGATCCTTTACTTAATTTTAGCTTTATTTAAAGGCGCTTTCATCCTTTCTCCTACGTTTCGAATATACCACGTACCGAAACTACAAAGAAAAATCAGGCGGCATCATTTCTCTACAAATTTGACTTATGCAAATTTGTGACATTTTGCCACTGGTGGTCACGAAACTTTTTATTTTGTAAAGGCGAATCCGGAGTACCCAGATTTTTTATTTCATATTCTGTTAACATAAGAGCTGAACTTTGTCCTAGTATACATTTTGGCTAGGTATCACACATACCAAGGTGAATTTTTTGCCTCTGAAGTTGCTCATGTTTTAGCCATTTTAAAAAGTGCGCTTAGTGGTGGTTTTTGAAAAACTGTAAAAAATTCAAAATCATGTTTATGGTCTAAAACATACTATGGATAGAAAGAAAAGATAGAATTCTTTTAAACAAAAATATTTCTCTTTTATAGCTTTGAATCTTGCCTCGGTACAGACGCGATAAAGTAGGTCATTTTTACTCTAATTTTTGCATAATTAATTAGGTAAAAACCGCTATTTTCGGTTTTGCTCATTTTCTCGAAAACTATAGATTCTTGAAAGTTGAAAATATTTTTTTCGAAGACAGTTCCCCAAAGGGGTTTTTCGGACAAGTTATCAGAATTTTCGATTTTTTTAGCCTGGCCAGCGATTCTCGATATTTACAGTCATGGGCTCTTAAGTTTTGATAGTTTTTTAGGGAAAAAAAAGTGCTGTTGTAAATATGGTGATAGCCCCCAAATATCTTCAAGTAGCAAACGGGATTTATCTAATTAACAATGTTTTTATCACAAACTTTTATCAACAAAGTATCACTGATCAATAACGAAAGCTGTTGCAAATTATGACTATTATCTCCCTTAATGAGTTCTATGAATCTCCAAGTAAACTTTACCGAGTATCACTTGCAAGAAAATGAGACCTTATGTTTACAAGCGACATTCTAATGATGGCACATTGCTGCAATTGGATCCTGATTCTGTTTTCAAATATGGTTCTGTCACGTGTTACGGAAGTCGCATTGTAACTCCATGCTGCTACTAATTCGATTGACTACGTAACGAAAAAAATAACTGAAAAAAAACATCGCTCTGAATCTGAAGATGAATCAGCTTACAAGGTTGTCGAAACGTAAGTTCGCAATGGTCAGTTACTAGGGTGACGTGAGCGAGTGGGCCACTGAAATTCTGAAAAGCAGTTTCATGTCTTGATTGAAAGCGCAATGGAAAACTGAATTAGAGTACATGTACTCTCCTGTTCTATGAAAATGACTTCACCGCGGATTGCATGACTGCCTGCCACATAATTTCAATGAATTTGTCTCAATGAAATGTGCGTTTACCACTTGTGGCAAAATGGATGGTTGTTTTGGTAATAATGCTTATACAAGTGAAGATAATATCAATTTAAAGCGATTTACTGATTTTTCCGGATCAAACCATCATGGCACAGAGTGGAAACGGAGCAGCATGTGAGAGTGATGTTACATCACTTGGTACCGGACAAGAGCTGAACATTGATGATGACACACTGAAACGTAAAGACTCTTACAACTGTTAATACTGTATCCCCAACAAGACTTTAACATAGCAAAATAAGGAGGAATGAAATAAAAGATACAGAAAAGGAAAAAAATTCCGTCATTTGAAAACATTCAACATACGGAAGTGGTTAAAGAATCAAAGTCGAAGGTGGTTTTTCAATTTTTTTTATCTAGATTAGGCTTTTTCTAGAATTTGTGGCCGACGAATGATGACTTTTCTCCCAGCAGGTGTGATTTCTTTTTTCCTGCCAACCCGAAAGATGCACACTACCGCATAACGCCTTTAATAATAGTGTAAGTTCCGTCTGGCGCTACAAATTTAATGCTTTTCTAGCTTTTTTGGCGTTTTTAACTTTAGAAAGTGAGCATAACTGACGACCAAATTTGCCACTATTCTGTGACCATTGTCATGGTCAACGCCATTTATTAGTGAACAAGTGACACCATTTGCCTAAACGGGGAGTAAATGACCCCTGTTATGATCACTTTTTTTGTTTTAATATGCAGGAAAGAGACGAAGACGGAAATGAACATATTAAAAAGTTGCACACGATAGACCGTATTGTACTCTTATCTTTTGTATTCACAATTATAATTCACTATTTTATTTTTTTACACCATGGCAAGTTTCGTTCCCAAAGGAGTATTCCGGATTTTTAAGAGACGTGGATGAACTAATTGGGGCAAAAATCAAAACCCACAAAAGTTCCCTGAACCAAAAATTAACCCCCAAAAAATCCTATACAGAACTACGCACCGACAAAATTATTCAGTTAAAATCAAGCCAACTAAGAAAATACTTGCCACATTTTTCCTACCCCAAAAGAATCCCAGAATTGAAAATTTTAAGCCCAAAAAATCCTTCTATCATCGCCGTCACTTGAAATCCGGACTACCTCAACTGGAGTTTCGTTCCACCCCAAATTTCTTAATCAAAAGTTTGCTTATGGCGTACTTCATAACCGCAAAACAGATTGTCGAATACGAAGCTGAATCGGAGAGACCTACAAGTAAAAAGGAAAGAACCAAGGATGGAAAAAACAAACAAGTACCCTGTATTTTTTTGGAAACCGAAATACACTCAACTCGAAAACGAAGAACCCTCAACGCCGGTGAAAGGGTGTGCAATAAACCAAATGGGTCCGTAAATTTGAAGCGTGACCATCCCCTTGAGGTATTTGCGTTGCCTCGACGTACTCGTACCCATTGTTGGGTATTTGGAATCAAATGTTTTGGCTCAGGGAGGGGAGAGTATAGTAGAGGTTTACATTTTTAGCACCTTACATTGAGAAAGTTTGCGGTATTGTAGTGTTTGACAAATTTTCATGCGGTACTTGTGTAATTGTGGCCTTGAATTCTGATATTGTGGTATTTCTAAACATGCCGAAGTTTTTGTGATTGGCTCGGGGATTTTTAGCATGGTTGTGTCGAATTTCTCGATTTCTGTTTGCAGTGTTACGGTGTTCCGTATACCCCTAGCCGCTCTTCAATGGTTTTTTTTTTGCGCATGCGTATACTTGTGCCAAAAGACCAGCTTTGATGTGTGACAAGTTGCGGTTTTAGAAAGGTTTACCAAACAATATTCCCATGATAATTGTTTATGCGTTTGAACCCATCAACAGAAATAATTAGCAAGGCATTTATAATAACGGATGCTGAAATCCTATGATGCAACCACAGCACCTTCACATTTTACCATTTATTATTATAATTATTATAACTATTATATTATTATTATTATTATTACTATTTGAAAAGTTATTTTGGTGTTAATCCAATCTTAAGTTTTTGTAGTTTTGAAAGTAAAAAAAGTGTTGTTGTTGATGTGGTCATAGCAGCCAAACATCTTTAAGTAGCAAACCGAATTTATATACTTAACAGTGTTTTTATCCCGAGTTTTTATCAACAAAGTATTACCAATGACGAAAGCCGTTGCAAATTATGAAGATTATCCCGTTACGTTCAATAAAACTAAAAGTAAACTTTACCGAATTTCACTAGCACTAAAAAAAAACAATATGTTTATAAGGATTATTGCTGCCATTGACTCCTGATTCTGTTTCCAAATATGGTTCTGTCACGTCTTACTGAAGTGGTACTGTTAACTCCCTGCTGCTACTAAGTCGATTGACTAGGGCAACAAAAAAGAACTGCAAAAAACGTAGCTCTAAATCTGAAACTGAATCAGCCACCGAGATTGTCGGAAAGTGAGTTGGCAATGGTTGGTTACTAGGGTGTTCTGAGCGACTTAGCTACTGAATTCTGGAAAGCAGTTTCATGTCTTGAATGAAAGCATAACGGAAAACTGAATCAGATTACGTTACTGTCCTGTTGTTTGAAAATTACTTCACCGCTCATTTCATGACAGCCTGCCACAGAATTTTGATTGATTTGTTCAGTCAATAAAAGTTTTATACTAATGTGAGTTTACCACTTGTCGCAAAATGAATGGTTGTTTTGGTAACAGTGCTTATACAAGTGAAGTTAATATTAATTTAAAGCTTTTTACCGATTTTTCCAGATCAAACCATTATGGCACAGAGTGGAAACGGAGCAGCATGTGAGAGTGATGTTACATCACTTGGTACCGGACAAGAGCTGAACTTTGATGATGACACACTGAAAGGTAAAGATTCTTACAACTGTTAATAGTGTATCACTAAAAGGCCTTTAACATACTAAACTAAGCACAAGTAAAATAAAATATACAGAAAAGACAAAAAACCGTCATTTGAAAACATTCAACATACGGAAGTGGTTAAAGAGTCAAAGTCGTTAAACATTATCTCTACTGAAGGTGGTTTTTTAACTTTTCATCTGGATTAGGCTTTTCCTAGAATTTGTGGTTGAATTTACCACTTGTGACGAAATGAATGGCTGTTTTGGTACCAGTGCTTTATATACAAGTAAAGATAATGTCAGTTTACAGCTTTATACCGATTTTTCCAGATCAAACAATTATGGCACAGAGTGGAAACGGAGCAGCAAGTGAGGGTGATGTTACATCACTTGGTACCGGACAAGAGCTGAACTTTGATGATGACAAACTGAAAGGTAAAGACTCTTACAACTGTTAATAGTGTATCACCAATTAGCCTTTAACATAGAAATTTAAGGAGAAATGAAATAAAAGATACAGAAAGGAAAAAAACCGTCATTTGATACCATTCAACATACATAAAGACTGGAAGTCGTTAAACATTATCTCCACTGAAGGTGTTTTTCACTTTTTGTCTAGATTAAACTTTTTCTAAAATTTGTGGTGGACGAATTCCTTTATCTTGTGGATTCACCGTTACATATAGCCCTGCTTTAGCTCCCGCCAAGTATGATTCCTATTTTCCCGCCAACCCGAAAGATGCACACGCACCTCATAATGGTTTATTAGTGTGAGCTACAAATTTAATACATTTTTAGCATTTTTAACATCAGAAAGTGAGAAACGGAACGACCAAATTTGCACCTATTTCACAAGTCTGTGAGCAATGTCATGACCTAGTACAAACATTAACCATAGAGGACTGCAAAGGACCGCAAACGAATATGCCGGAGAACGTAGGATCCATAAAGACCTGATCAGCAAAAATGAAAAGTGAAAAGTAGACATTAAATTCTGCAAGCAGAATACTGCAATGCTGACCGTACTACGTGAAAATTAACTCTGCAAGACATCAACACGACACCGAAAGAACTCAAAACAGAGCGAGATTGTAGCCATAGTCATGATCAACGCCATTTATGAGTTAACAAGTGACACCATTTGCCCAACCGGGGAATAATTATCCCCGTGGTATTTTTCGTTTTAATCCGTAGCAAAGAGACGAAGACGGACTCCCGGATGAACACACAAAAAAGTTGCACAGGATAGTCCGTATTGTACTCTTATCTTTTGTACTCACAATTATAACTCGCCATTTTATTTTTTATACCATAGCAAGTTTCGTTCCCAAGGGTTATTACGGATTTTAACAGACGTGGATGACCAAATGGGTGCAAAAATCAAAAACCCAAAATTCCCTGGACCAAAAATTAACCCCCAAAAATCCTATACAGAACTATTCACCGACAAAGTTCTTTAGTTTAAGTCAAGCCAACTAAGAAAATACCTGTCAAATTTTCCTACCCCAAAAGAATTCCGGAATCGAAAATTTCAAACCCAACAAATCCTTCGATCATCGCCGTCACTTGAAATCGGCAGTACCTCCACTGGGGTTTCGTTCCACCCAAGTTTCTTTATCGAAAGTTATGCTTATGACGTACTTCATAACTGTAAAACAGATTGTCGAAATCAAAGCTGAATCGGAGAGACCTACAAGTAAAAGGGAGACAACCACGAATGGAGAAAGAACCAAGTATTTTCTATTTTTTGGAAACCGAAATACACTCAACTGGAAAACGAAGCACCCTCAACCCTGGTGAAAGGGCTTGCAATCAACTACAACTGGTCAGTTAATTTGAAGCGTGACCATCCCCTTTGGGTATTTTCGCTGCCTCTGGATACTCTTACCCACAATGGGGTATTTGGAATCAATGTTTGCCTCGGGGAGGGGAGAGTATGGTAGTGTCTGACATTTTTAGCACCTAACAATGAGAAATTTTTTGGCGTTGTGGTGTTTGGCAAATTTTCATGCGGTACTTCTGTAATTGTGGTCTCGAATTCTGATATTGTGGTTGGCTCGGCGATT